TAACGGATTAAAAAAAAAAAGAAAAGAAAATACGTAAAAAATGGCCACAATAGCGAATGGATAATTCGGGGAAAAATTTTGAAATATCGGACACGGAGTCCCCTGTTTTCCAAGCTCGGGGCGATCAAACAACCCTTATTGAAGGACCGTCCTCCCTCTACCCCGATAAATCTCGCCCACGAAACAACCTAGAAGGTCGAGCCAATTCGACCCACCTTCGATATCGAGGGACAAGAACCACTCGAGCTCAGAACACAAAGGACTAATCACTAACCCTCGCGTCCTCGACTCGCAAGGACGTTCACCCTTCCCTGGCCTTAAAACGGGACGAATCAAGGCTAAAGTCCGCTAAAAGAGCCTCCTCAGCATCTAGAGAACGTTGAATGACTCGCGGGGACCTAGAGAGGGTGTCGCCTTTTTATTCGAGGCTCGCAGCGAATGATTAACCGCGGGAATGTCGCGCCGAAGAAGTCCTGGAATGACGACCAGGGAATCGAATTTAGCCATACGGGAAATGGCATGCAAAGTACGGGAGCCATGTCGTCGCCAACATGGCCGAGCAATAACGGGGATGACGTGGAAATTTCTTATATCTGTGGGAATTCATTAGACGGGGATGTAAAATACTTCCTAAGGAAGATTCGGCCGAAGAGAGAGGTCGATCGCGCGGCAGGGAAATTGCTCAAAGGGTGCCGGTGACTATTATCTACATATTTATTTATTTATTTTTCATTTTCGCGAATATATCATTTGCTCTATTTTCGGGGACCGTCCCGAATATTACCGATGGGAGGAAGGCGGCATTCTTTTTCCGAGGTAATTCATCATCGCCCCAGTCAAGGCGGGAGTTCCGCCGCGGATGAAGCACGTGGCCCGCGAGGCTTTGAACTCGCGACTGCCGGGAGAATTTTCTGGTTTAATGGTAAATGGAGGGCGAGCGAGAGGAGAAGGATCGGAGAGAGGGAAAAATGGAAGGTCACTCGGTATGACATTTAGAGCGAGATATAGATGGGTGTACTCAAAGGTACATGTGTCGTTGCGCGTACCCACGGGTTTATGCGCATTCCGCGTATTTCCATGGAAGACACGAGAGTCGTATTTTCATATCGAGGAGATATCCACGACGTCTTCCGTGCAATTTCTCAAAATCCGAGATCTTGCATCGGAGGATACGCAGATCCGCTGTAAGAAGGGGTGGAGGAACTCGTCATTGGTCGCGATTCCTCCGAAATGACATATATGGACTCTCGCTTGACATGGCATGTCGTCGGAGATATGCAAATGCGCTTACCCCTGCAGTCATGCATATTTTGAGGTGCAACCGGAGCTTGCATATTTTCCCGGTACGATTTAAATATCATACATCGGTTTTGAAACACGTGGGGGACTCTTCGGTATTTGGAAGAAGTCGAAGGAAGAGGAGAGCGGGACGTGGGGTGTCGGTAATCGAGTAAGGCCATTAACGACGAGAGGGTAGCGGTGCCGTTTCAGGTCGAGGGTTGATACCGAAGAAGGTGACGAGGGGGTTGGGGGTTCTCGGTGACACGTCTAAGGGTGTCGTATGTATGGATCCGACACTCTCCTGCGTGGTGGGAAATGTCTGGTTAAATAGGGAGGCTTGACTTTCATCATGTCGAGACGTACATCGCGAGGCTGCATCGAGATTTCTCCTACACCCTGTATACCCCCTGCAAGTAGAAATCAGACATCCGAGTCCCGCGAGGGGATTTTTGGCGGGAGTTAGCTCGGGAAATAATTGCCTACGTCAATTACGTCTCCTGGATGGGAAGTTCCGAGGGGAGGATTTATTCCGTCCGTCTTAGGAACGATTAGGAGATGCCGAGTTGCGTGCCGGGAATGCACTTCCAATTTGGGGGGCGCATAGTTGCGTGTCGGGCCTCTCTGCCTTCCCCGGCTATATATGACGGGTACTTTGCCTCCTGATCAAAGTAAACGAGTCCTGAGTGCAACCATTAAGAACACCTTCGCTTTCATCAGGGGTATCTACCCCCTGCCGAAGGTGGAGGCTCCATAAATAATCGTTTAACCGGCCCCTAAATTGAAAATATATCGTCGGGATCAAGTGATCACTTTCTTATATAGGTACGTCGGAGAAGGGAGATTCTCCGGCATACTTTCCCGAATTTCCCCTCGGAAGAGGGATAAGGAAGAGACGCGAATACGTAGCTCGCCCTCTCCTGTCACCTCGTGGGGCAGGTCAGGCCTCCCGATCGACCCGACCCCCCGCGCCGATTATTTCGGATATGATTCAACCCCCGTCTAAATTACGGAGAACATTTGCCCGAGCTTAGAGTTTCAACTCCCCGGCGATGATGCTCCTAGGAAATGGGGCTAGGTCGAGCAGTCGCCTCTAGACGCGCGGAAGATCCAACTCAACTCATGAGCGACAAGACGCACGATTACATGCAACTTCTGCCTTGGGTCCCACAGATGCTTACAAAGTTCCCCGAAGAGACGAGCGGCGAGGGTGTTTAATAGTAACAACCCTGCCAATATTGAATCTCGCCCCGAACCCTTCCTCCGTTCTGATGAAATCATTAACTTTTCGTGGCCCCATTATACCCGAGCGATCCCGGGGAATCCAGGGTTCATTTTTTATATTTTTTTTCCCCCCCGGATATCTCCCGCAATCTCCGACACTTTATAATTCGTCTGCATCGGAGCCGCCATTTTGAATATTAAACGCTCAATCGCGGCATCGAAATCAACGACCACGCGACCCCAGGAGCCTAGTTTGGCGGAAATCGATCAGATTGTTTCCAAAATAAAAAAACCAGCCGTAGAAAAACCTGTTTTTCTTTTTTTTTTTCCACGGGAATGGCGACACCTCCAGGTCAAATTTTGCATCCGAGCTGTTGTGGAGGAAGCCCGGGGGAAATAGGAAGAAAAAAGCGGGAGAAGTGGAACGATGGAGATTTTCTTATAAATACGATCTGCTCTTGAAGAAAGCCGATATCTCCGACCTTCGCCTTTGCGTTATCACTTCTTTTTTGATCCTGCATCCCCGAAACATATTACTCTTGTAAGACGAAAATATTCCGCCGGTTGGTTTAACCGGTCCAGGGGGTTTAATATCCTCCGGTGCTCTCCCTCTCCCTCTCACTCCCTCTCTCTCCCCCTCTCTCTCTCTCCCCCTCTCCCCCTCTCTCCCTCTCTCCCTCTCTC